ATGTTGTGCGGCTTCCTAAGTGGACTGTTTCATTCAGAAATGCCGGAAAATTGAGAATTCCTGCTACTGTACGGAGTGGTCGGTAATACCACGATTGCCGAAGAACTCCTAGAAGGCAGTGTCACTTTTATTTTTCGCACTATTCTGCATACACATCCCAAAAGATTCCTACCAGGAATCGAGCTGCACATAGGTTAGACTGGTTGTAAGAACTGCATGGCCAGATTGTATCTCTGGATGGCGGTTAAAGGTTTTGTCTCGTTCTGGGAAGTGGTAGTGTTGGATCTCCTTTAGATTTTAAATTGCGTAACATTTGCTTCTGTATGAAAGTTTCAAGAACAGTTAAGACGTCAATATCCAGAATATACGCCATATTACAATTCACTTATTTCGTATAAATCAAGATATACGATAACCGCGGAATATCGTAAACAATCACGATTATCCTTGGCTAACGATCTACGGCTGGTTTGTCGGTAAGGCGCATTATTCCCATAGCAAACCGAAAGAGACTTGTTAACAAGTCTTTCTCTGGCCTTGACGGCCGCCGTCACCGCAACTCTTTTGTTTTACCATCCAGCGCCAGCGGAGATAACAGCGCGGCAGTAACGATACATCAAAATCGGTGACGTCTTAATAGGCATTTTTTGACGTTCTGCCGTGACACGATTTTTTACCGGGCGGCACCGAGCGACGCACCGGCGGCTAGATGAATTAGCAGGAATATAAACGTTATAGTCAGGATTATTAATGAAAACTGATTATGGGATAAGTTGGGACGAAGCCGCGAGTACTCCGGCTGGCGCTTTGTGATCTGATGATAAGATTTGTTGACAGGGGCGTAGATATCATATAACGAGAGGAATGTTGTTAATCCTCCCATGCAAGGCTGTCATCAATTCATAAGGTATTATACTTGGCACAAGTTAGTACCTCCTAGAAAAAGATTGGCTACGAACATGTATAACAAAGGAATTGAATGGATCGTACAATCAGTTCAACAATGCGATCTAGCCTACCGCAAAAGCAACAGTATCAACTATCCAGCACGGGGTTATATTATACACGAAAAAAAAAAGGAAGACGGCTCAGTCATCCCTGGCCATCTAAAGTAGAGGGGCGCGCGCTCGTCGAGTTGTTCGGCAGGCGTACATCAAAGTTATTAATATTCAATTCATGTTTCAAGCTACTGAATTGGTTGAATATTGCAAAGTTATATACATGTCTCATTTATTACGCTATATTCACAAGCTCCTACATACTTCGGTTCCTTCATATAAAGAAATATTATCTCGAGTATAATCACTTTCGGAATATTCGATTCGGTGGCAACTATGCCTCTTCACAAAACTTTATTAGTTCATACATGCTTTACTTATAATGCGATCAATCTATAAATGAATTACTATCGACCACTAAACACACTTCCCTAAGAGAAGTAAGGGAGCAAGAGAAAAATCAAAAATTTTCAGTGAATCTTTGACAGGTTGTATTCGGTGAAAAATGGTCGTATCTAGACTTTAAGACTAGCATTTTGAAGCTTTAAGGTTCTAGTTTTTAATCTTTGTAATCAAAAAGTTTTAGGAGCAGCGGCTCTTATGCCATTCAGGTAGATAGCTCAAAATTTTTGCAAAATTTTTCACTTATTTTTTATAGTTCACGGACTTGAATTTTTTTTCCTGTTAGGTCATCAAATGGATCAGATAGCCTGTTCATTCAGCTTCAATATCCTGTTTTTAAAATCTCAAAACAATCACTTGGCGCGGAGATATCTTCGTTGAAAGAAAAAGGATCTTTTTGTCATCGACCACTGATACCTCGGTAACCAGCGATCATGCAGAGGATGTAAGGGTATTTCCGATAACTGGAATAAATCATCGATAACATTTGATTGCAATCTTTGTTGATTTTGACAAATTAAAAGAACACTTTTTGCCTTGTTTTGGAAAAACGACAGTATTTTTGGAACTGTTAATCAGAAAAGTAATGTTTTTAGGTTTTTTGTACCTAAATGTACCCTGGTCACCCTACACGACGGCAGATTGATCCATTGTGCGGTTTCTCCGGACCGATTGATGAACATTTGAATGAAACCAAAGGAGCAACATTTTTGTATCAAAACATGCTGTCATCTGGTTGAAAATGGAAAAATCATTTTTCTTCTTTTGCTTTCCCTATAGGATATCTGTAACACCTTCAATTTTAAAAATAGCAATTGAAAAAATGTATTCTTTAATTCATGGGATATTCCAAAAAACAAACTGACCAGGGCCGGATCTAGAAAACATTCAGTGTTCCGTCCGACCAAATTATTTTGTTGGAACTGTTTTCAATTTTCTAGGGCTATTATTATTATTATTATTATTATTATTATTATTATTATTGTTATTATTATCATTATTATTATTATTATTATAATTATTATTATTATTATTATACAGGGTGACTTTGAAGTTGAGTCATTAATTTTCAGATAATGATTGTAGAAGGAAGATAAACCAAAATATGTGTAAAAATAAAAAAATAAATAAAAAAAAAATGTTAGGTACCTTGTTTAATAAAGTATCGTCCCGACAAGTATTTCAGTGCGGACCTGTATTTGATCGTGCGGTATTGGAGCAGCATGCCCTGACCTGTGAGGTCTTAAGTCACCTGATTCACGAGCACTTTGTACTACATTAACAAAGGCACGAGGGGTTGGTTGCACTCGATTGGGAAACCGATTCGCATAAATCCGTGATGCATCCGGGAGCATTTTGTAAAGACTGCCCCCCCGTAAATAAGAATCATGTCCACGAGTTCAGCATTTTCGTAAACATGTGCCATTTTTGATTTCGTTTGAGCCACGCAACAAACACTTACTATTTATTCACTAACGCGTTATCGACTGACGAAAAACATCGTGATAAACGTTTCAAATTCTTTCGCTTTTTTGTTTCCGATGCGATGAACCGGTCAGGCGGATTATATCCGTTGTCGCCAAACACGAACATATTATTATTGAGACAGGGCAGTACTCAAACTTCCAAAGGGCTATAACTTTGTTACTTTAATTTTACCAGAAAAATGGTAAAGGAAAAAAACATTTCTTTTGATCAGATCTACTCACTGTTAAAATAAATGACTCAACTTCGAAGTCACCCTGCATATTAATAATTCAACTTTTAAGGGCAATAGTACGAGGAAACCTTTGATTTATAAAATATGTCTAAAAAGTGCGTTCATTTACCTGGGTTAGAAATAAATAAATTGTTGCCACAAAAATTGCCAAATACTCTCCCCACCCGCCATAAACCCCAACCTCAAATGTGTAACCCATGCAAAATTTTTCTGAAACTTCAGAAAACGAAATGAAATGAGTGACACATGTTTTTCGTGATGTACATGTCATCTAATATTCAAAAAACGTATCTCATTTTCCGAAAATTTTCGTGATTAAAATACTTCCTCGTGCAGTGGCGTAGGAAGTAAGAGTAATTAATTAATAAGTGATTTCTTTTGGCTGGTAAATCATGGAAAGTTCTTTCTTTAAACAGGCTGTTACGGATATACTAAAATAACAGGGTATTTCGCTTAAAATATACTGCTTCTGTTACCACGTAGTTAAAAAAGATCCTGTAACGAACAAAATATTTTTCAAGTAAGAAGCGTATAGTTACCTATAAAAGTTGTGAAAAAAAATTTCAGTTATTCATATTTTAAAATAATGGAGCTATCGATCGATTACACACTTCTAAAAGCTCACCCCGTGAGGTGATATTGCCCTAATTTTTGTCCACCGCTGACAATTTTCCGATAAGGCGGTGTCAAACCTCAATACTTCAGAATCTTAGACTTACTGACAAAATGCTGATGTTCCATATTTAAAAGATTGATCCAGGAGGGCTCGAATATGTATAAAAGCACGCCTATGTTCCACATTGTTTTGGTGTGTTGTAGAACGATACTTGCGCACGAAAGAAGATAACAGATAACATGTTACGATGTGTAACTTGGACAGACTGAACAGAATGAATGATAAATACATCATATTTTGTTATCATTATCTTCATCTCATTGGCAGATTTGTTGGCCGGTTAATAAATCTTGTTTATGTATCAAGATCAAAGCTCTAGTGATCGGCTAACAATCTCACGGCATCAGAGGCAACAAGTAGTCAATAAATTGACAAAAATCGAACAATAAGAAATTCACCAATCTGCATCCATGAAAAATTCTCAAAGCTACTAGAATCCAGAGAAGAAGCATCACTGGATGCCAGTTCGAGTATGCTGAAATTATTGCCAATAGAAAACAATTGAAGACACAAGTGGATGATCGTGTCATGTAACAAACTCATTGTATAGAGAAAACTAAACATTTTTTTTGGGACTTTTTACTTTATTGACGTTTTAAATATTCAGTTTAATTAGTTTGTTACTGTATTGTTTTGGCAATAAAGTAATCACAGAATGAAAGAATCACTCTGTTAATGCAAAAAAGTAATTTAAAAAAATATATTTTGTTTGTCTTCAATTCATTTCTTTAGATTGTCATTTATAATTCATTCTTAAGGAAAATAAACATGGTGGTTTCACTACAATCTCTGAAATTACAGCTACAGGGTGAATCTATGCAAATAAGTCGCTAATAGAATTGGTTGAAAAAGCACAACAATCTATTCTAAGAGTAGTATTCAATAAATCCTTGTTATAACCATCCGAGTTCTTGTACGCTGAAACAGAACACAAGTTCTTACGATTTGGTCTTCTTCAAGTATCTGATATCGTCGGTATTACGCTAATATCAAGGGACATTGGTCTTGTTCCTCGGAAATTCATCTTAGAATCATTTAATAATTCTGCTGTTTGACTTCTTAATGAAGTTGACAACCACGGAACCACACAGGTTTTGAGATCTGACTCTACTCGTGTATCATGTTTTTGCTATCTTTGCTTGTACATCCTTTCTGTTTTCTTTAATTGAAAATAGTGTTACCAAAACTCATTTCTTTGTTTCAGTTTAACGTGCAGCGATTGCAGGACGCGCACTCGCTGGCTTCGCAGGGCGGCGCATCTGCAGGGGGCGGTCTCGTGGATCCGCACACCGCGAGCAGCAGCTCGAGTACCGCCCCTCTGGCCGCACCGACCGCCTCCGCGCACCCCCTCTACCTGCAGCAGGGAGCCCACAGTAGCGGGGGTTCGGTCAGTTCGGCGGGCGGAGCATCGCCGGTCAGTCCGCTCGGACCACGCCCACCCGGGAAAGAGGAGGACTGCAGTTTGCACGGGCGGAGCAGTACGGATGGTAAGTAGGCGGGGCTATATTAGGACAGGGATGGATTGAGGACTGTTTGGCAAACATTGTCAGTTCGAAACTACCTATCACAAAAGTCAGTTTAGGATATTCAACATGCTCTTAGATATAAGGTGTCAGAAAAATAGAACGGCAGATCCAGCAAGCTAAAATACAAAAGAATGTTCATACAAACACTATGCCCGGAAAGGCTTTGTCTCCATAATATGGGGTGTTGAAGCTTGTGCGTCTTAGATAGTGAACCTTATAATCCACGAAAGCAGATTGAGATGATTTTTAAAGCATTTATGGCAATGGCGTTCGTGTCAGCAAGTCTCTTTGTTAGGTGAAAGAATAGTATCAGTATATTAAATACAAAATGAGTCTACTTAAAAACTACTTCCTGGAGTTCATTCGGTAAATTATTTTTCAAAAAGTAAGCCAATCTATTTAGCGTTAAAAAACGATAATCGAAATGAGCGCACGTAACTAAAGCTTCAGGAGGCACTCTTTAAGCAGAACCAATATATGTCTGTGGCTTTTTATCATATTTTTAGACTCCTTACGTGCTAAATCTAAAGGATGGAGGTAACAAGAAATGTTCAAACTGTGTTTTTTGATGTGTCAGAGGTTTCTGATCATTTTGTTGGGGCTGGATTTGTAGGGGGTTGGTGGAGTTATTGTTTTGACGCCGAGGTGACCAATGTTCTGACATTGGATAAGATTATATTTGAATATTTATAATCGGATATTAAGTAGGTATTTGTATTTCAGTTGCTGACATAGTGGAATTGAGCGTGGAACTCTAAACTTGTCGATAGGGTTATAAGGAAATCTGTTTTTGTGACTGATAATTTGCCGAGTTTTATACCAATCACATCTTTTCCTGAATTAAACGAGCCACGAGAATATCCAGTTCGCCGAACTTTTAATTTGTGTTGCTCCGTATGTTTTTCTGTAGATAAGTAGGTATTTATACAGGGTGTCCGTTTACTTGAATATATGGTTGTATCATCTGGCCTCCTTTATACAGGGTGTCCGCAAAGTTGGGGTTTTCCTTTACACGACGTGTAGATCTTGAAAACATAAGCAATTTTTCTTAGTACCATATACACCAATGTCTTAAGGGAACCGAGATAAAGGGCTCTCCAACATCAAAAATATCTGAATCCGTCCTGTAGCCGCGACCCGCCGCGATATCCCAGACTGGTACCGGCTACTAGCTGAACCCGACGACAGAACTGGGTCGGGGGTCGGGGTCAGTGTGTCAGGTCAGTATGCAACCTTCAACCGACGGTAAAGGGTCACGCGTATAGAGGTAACGAACCCGTATAATCGATTGCGTTTCAAAAAAAAAATAATAATAATGGCACACTCATACACCAATAATGAACTCGTTGATATATTGTTAATTTATGGCGAATCTCTTCAAAATGCTACAGAATCGTCGCGAGTGTATGCAGATCGTTTCCCTAGACGACATCATCCAAGGCCCCGCAGATTTGTGTACCTGGTCCAGAGAGTCAGGGATACGGGCCATTTGGAGGAATTTCGAGGTGGGCACAGTGGGAGGCCTAGACAACCACGAACGGTGCAAGTTGAGGAAGAACTGCTGAATCGCGTAGACGAGAATCCCTCAACAAGCACTAGAGACGTGGCTAGAGAAGTGCAAGTATCAAAAACTAAAGTGTGGCAAACGCTGCGTGAAGAGGGGCTGTATCCGTTTCACGTCCAACGTGTACAAGCCCTTCAACCTGACGATTTTCCAGCAAGAGTGCGGTTTTGTGAGTGGTTGTTGCATCAACATGACAATAATCCGGACTTTTTGAAGTGCATATTGGTGACAGACGAATCTACGTTCACGCGAAATGGGGTGAATAACTTTCGCAACACTCATGTTTGGTCAGTAGAAAATCCGCACGCTGTCCGTCGGGCACATTTTCAACAAACATTTTCGGTGAATGTTTGGGCTGGCAGGGTGAACGGTATGCTCATTGGACCATTTATTCTCCCAAATCGATTGGACGGGATGCAATACCTGGACTTTTTACGCAACATTTTGCCTTCCTTGTTAGAAGATGTGCCATTAAGTGTAAGACAATCAATGTAGTTTCTGCACGATGGTGCACCGCCCCATTTTATATGCGAAGTGCGTGAGTTTTTGGATGAATTATTTCCGAATAGGTGGATCGGACGTAATGGACCCGTAGCGTGGCCTCCGCGATCTCCAGATCTCCACCATGTGATTTTTTTCTTTGGGGAGAAATGAAACGCTTAGTGTACAAAACTGAAGTGCATACGGTTGACGAACTTCGTCTCAGAATTGAACAAGCTGGTGCTTTCATTCGGGGAAGGGACTCCATTCTCAAAGCCTGCACCGATGCTTGGCTACGTCGTGCACGCACCTGTGTTTTTGAATCAAACGGCGATAACTTCGAACAATACCTATGAAGTACGTTTAGATAGATATATCCGTATAAAAGAACAGGATTTTCCACGGGTGTAATAACGAGAAAGGGATGTCGTTAGGTAGATTGACTCAGTACCTCTCACGCGTTCATATACGCACTGCATTTATTAAACGCGATTCCTAAAGGTGAACCTTAATATAAATATAATTTCTTAAAAACTGATATACACGTGTTCATGATTCAAATAAGTGTGCGATTATAATCTTGTAAAATGGTAAAAGCAAAGTGATCGGGCTATTTGCTAAGATGTGAGATAAGGTGACCACTTTGCTGAGAATGAAAAACATTTGAAGGTCTTCAAAATTGATCCACTGGTGACGGAAATACAAAAAAAAACAGAAAATCGCTAAGTTATCGAGTGGTTGAAAATTGGGGGTTTCGAGTTGGGCGAGAACAGTTGCAAGTGTTGCATTCTTGATATTTTGAGACGTTCTGTTAGTAATAAAGCCTGCAATTTCGAAGGCGTGAGAAGTATAAAATCAATCTACCTGATGGCAATTTTTAAGAAAGTGTCGCATTTGTTTTGTAAAATACTTGCAAATCTGCGCGCATCGTATTGAAACAATCCTGTACACGCATCGTATTATGCGTAAATGCATTCCATATCTCGCGCATATGGCGGCCATTAAGTGGCTAATAAACACAGGATAATCTCGGTTGGCGGAAGTAGCCGGCCATATCGTTATTTCTCGGAACGTCCTCTTCTGAAGGCAGGTTATTATCGCAGCGAATAGAGCCCAAGAAAGGGCCATTCGTTTCAGGAGTAAGAGCGCATTTGTAATACATCGCCGGCTGTACAGTTGATAAATGGCCGCTTTTTGTCTGCAGCCCGTGTACAATAATGCCGCGTATATAAGTATCTAATGTAATTATGTTAATTACTCATTACTTATTCGGCACAATAGAATGCCTTCTCAGATAAATTGCACTAAATTGTTGTTTAGATCCCTTTTTGGTTTCAGAACTAGAATATATGTATCTGTATTCTGTAGTAAAGTGATACGATTTATTCCAATAACATGCCATGGCCAATACAAACGATCAAATTCCAGCTTGAGCGTCAATTAGTGTCCTTCTGCTAGCTTAATGTCCTTCTTGATAGCATACAGGACATTTCCAAAGAAATGGGACACAAGTGAGATGTTGATTCCCTTAGAAAATTTTGCACTTTTATGATTAACGAACGTATCTGCGGATCCGATTGTTGGCTAGTAATAGCTACTTGGTATACAAAACACAGCGTCACTGAACCAATAAATTTCTAATGTGAACCTTCGAATCCCGTCGCAAGAAATGGTAAACAGTCACAGGCCGTCGAATGTGGAGGTACCACCAGACGGATCTCTTAGACGGTGCCAGATTGTATATATGTTACGGCACGGTACGGAGATAAAAAATGAAGAATATATCTCTCTATAGTTTGTGTCAATGTTTTCCAGGTCGGGTTGAAAAACAACATAAGCTGACACTCCATCTTTTCGTCACTGTTCCTTTTAAACCAATTATTTTGTAATCGTGTGACGAATAAAGGCCATTTATTATTATTATTATATCGGAAGCAAAAGCCTACTACTAGGTAGACAAAAAAGAGGTCTTGGTTCAAGATCAACTATCCTCAATTGAGGAACCATGACTTCGATATGTTTCTAAGACATAAATCTTTGCATTAAGGTCAATTTCTAAATTGTGCTACGTTTCTTTAAAACAACGAAATTACCTCATTTGAAGTATTTGTGATCTCGAATCAATATCATAATTTCATAGAAACACATGCACTTGAATCAATAGCCTTTCTTGTATGTACTCTTAACAAAAATCCTCCCCACCCCTGAATCTCCACGTCATAGGCTGGCGGATTACTATCATTACTATTTTCTACATTCATCATCCATTTATTATTGATGTAGACAGGAACTGTTGATTTATGTTTTTTACCAGAAGATTATTTTCTGCAGGCTACATAGAATTGATCAAAGGAGACCATATTTATTGAATTCTAGTTTTGAATTCAAAATCCTGCTGTGTCCAACTCACATCGTGCTAGTCCCATAAAAAGTCAAACATTTTGTTCAACCAATATCTAAAATTTATAATTGAAATTGTGATATCATTCTTGATATGGTCACTATACGAGTATATGTTAGGTCAGGTACTTAATTATACACTTTTAGTACTTCTCATGAAATGAGATTGCAAAAATAACAATGTAGATACATTTTCATTCAATCTTGACCGTAAAGTATTCCATAAATAACCTGAAAGCCCGGCATGATTTTACACCTTTTGGAGGAATACTCAACAAATTGTTGTAGACCGGATCAACATACTTTCCTATTGATCCAACATTTTCGTACAGAACCATTTTGCTTAAAGTGTGGCAGACGTGTTATCTGAAATTGCACGAGGTTTTTATTTTGTTAACACTTTAATTGTATTTTATATTCATTTGTTGTTCTTTACGCAAATAAATACTACTTAATAGGTACTATTTTCAATTCTAGTTTTACTTAATACAAAATATTGATTACCCTGGATTTTGTG